TGTTTTTTTTTTTTTAAATTTGCATGATAAAGATATTTCTATTTGTGTTGCAAACCACAAACATGACCAATTAATAGCGTTTATAAAAATTTGAAGAAAGACGCGCAAAGCTGCTAATAGACCTTTTAGATCGAGAAAGAGACTCACTTCTAAGTGAATTAATAAATTATGTTTGTTCTCTTAAGGTTGGAGATTGTAGAAGTAAGTCCTGTAGTACATATATCTTGGAGAAAAGCGACAGTATTTTGTGCGTTTTGTAGAACTAGGTAAAGGGTAGAAACGTAGCTGCATGCGACGGATTCTGACGTATCTTGCGATCATCTCGAAGTTGCATTTTCAATCTCGCCGATTTACGCCGAGATTCCCCAACGTTGTAGAAATTGACGATGCGAATAAAGAAGAAGTTCGATACGCGGCTCACGCAGATCGACGTTTTACAAATGTCTCGCGTTCCGTCTGGCATAAAATAAGAACAAAAGATATCGAGCGGGAACGACATTCTCCTATTTCCCGGATCGTCCCGGAATCGGAAACTCGGCGAAGCGCGGAATTTGCGAACGTAGTGAAATTTGTTCGAACGCAACGAACCTGCTCCGATACAATGTACAATGTGGCGTTAATGTATATACAGTAGCAAACCCACTCAGTTTCAACAACAGTTTCAAAAACAGTTTAGATATTTAGATAAACATTATAATTAACATACATTAATTACAGATGATCTATATATCTATCTACGATTTATCAATAATATAATAGTTGCAATGCCGATGCCAATATTATTTTTATTTTTGTTGTCTATTGAATTTCTCGAATAATTTTTGCTTGTCTCTCAATGAAAATTTATATACTTGATAATAAAATAGACTTTTTTATTGTCTTATAGTTCACCCTACTAAAAAAGAGTCAAGACTCGCGAAATAGACGCCATGCATTTTTGTTGTAAATTCGACTACGAGATGATCGCACCTTTAATAGCTAATACATCGCGCCTCCGCTCTCATTAACCTGCATTTCTGGTGCTGTTCAGGCAAGGTGGACGAGAAAGCGACGCAGCTGCACGCGATAGCGTCGCTGAAGGTGCTGCTGGATGCCACCAGGCCGCACAACGGCGCCGCGACGTCGACCGCCGCCCATTATTCCGGCGCACCCTCGAAGGAGACGACTCTGCAGCTGCAGCAGGGCTCGCAAGGCACCACCACCACCACCACGACTACGACGACCACTGCCGGCACCACCGCCGGTATTCAGGAACTTCCGAACGGCGGTATCGCTGCTGGTCTCGACCCTGGACTCGAATCGGTAAATGTTCGAATACAAGAAATACCACGCAGGATCCATCGATCGAGTCATCTGGCCATTGTCGTCGGCATTAAGTTTATCAAGTTGCCGTCACGTTCGTTTTCGTATCATGATCTTTTTGTATCGTATCGTTTCCGTGAGATCTGAAATATGATACTTTTACGATTTTATGGACGAGATGAAGTAGAAAATTTCTACAGACGCCACAGCGCGCGTTTATGTTGTTTAATAAAATCGATCGAAATGCCTCCATATAAATGATCCTCTAGTTTCTTCGTTTCTGCAAGTGAAGGAAAGAATCGTGTGCGGGTTACAAGGGTCTACGATTCGTTATACGACATGCCTCGATCCGAGAAATTGGAATAGTTTCGGCGTGCTGCGCGCCGTCGTAAAACAAAGAGGTCGAGAACACGCTGATTGGAATTTGTCGTTCCACTTTTCTTGATAAAACGTTTAATTCGCTCATAGCGTATCTGTCGTCACATTTATCGTGATTCGTCCGAGCGCCCGCTATTTTCCGATGATCGGGCAGGAATATTTCAAGAGAAAAATAACCTTTCAACCCGATAAATTAGTACGATAGGCTAATTTTAGGATTAGTATAACTTTGGCGATGGCTGTCGCGTTCCTCGGAGCACGCGTTGCAAAAGGGCACGTTAGTTCGATATCGTAACGTTCTACTTTTCATTGTGAAATGTTTGCTTCTATCACGACTTGGATATCTTGAATTAGAATAGGCAGTTTAATTCCCAACAATACTGCGAATCACGCGAAGTAATCCTTTTTAACTTGCACGTCGAACGTCGATATGGATGTAACATTCTACTCTACTCATGTTTTAGATTTTCTTTCCTTGTTGTATTATTATTAATATCAAACCAAGATGATGCAATTTCATTCTGGTAAAAGTTTCGACATTTAAATTATTTAAAGAAACATGAGAATACGATGGAGGAATCATATCAGAACTAAATCAAACAGCCCGTGTTTGGAACTATTGTTCAAACTGATGTTCATATATCTCCGTAGAATTAACGCCACAATATCTACACATTTCTCGCCAAATAATGCCGTTTCTCGATTAAAGTCACTAAAGTCGAGATAAAACAATTTAAAACAATTTTGCCTTCTTTAGCTAGGCCGACTATTGTATTCATAAATGGTCCGCAGAGGCGTGGAACCCCAGAGTAATCAAAGTTAACTTTACGCCCGCAGCCTTAATGCGCACGAATATAAATCGGTACGGTGTTCCATCCATTAGGTCTTATCAGGATAACCGCAATTTTCACCCGTGCGGCAACCCTGGCGAACTTGGCGATCATAAATCAGAGCGTCGTTCGATATTCGTCGGCATCGAACTTTAAAAGTTCATCCAAGGTTATTTTGCTTGTGTCGAAATCGAGCGTGTCGTCGCTAAGGGGATGAAGTGAGGTCCGACACGCCGCGGCGCATCCCCCGTGAAGAAATTCAATCGGATCCGTACGTCGATCCGATTGAAGCGTAGGTGTTGGTACTATCGTCGAGCGGAAGAAGAAGAAGAAGAAACGGAGGCTGAGGGTCGATAAGTCTTTATCCATTGTCCGACGTGTTATTCTCGCAGTGGAAAATTTTCTTGTCGCCTTCCCTGACGGGCGAAGGAACGACTGGCGCAATCGATACAATAAGAAGGATAAAAACGTAACGAGAGCGATATCGCTTATCTCTTCCTTCCCCGCCGCTCGTCGCAGATGGTATCGCATAAAACTCTACCCATCCCGGCGCGGACAGAGATAAATATTCAATAATTCTTCCCGCGACGGCATGTCGCGATAGAAACGCATATACTCGAAGGCTCCTCATTTCCCGTCGCGCCGACCTCCAACTTCGACAAATCGTTTTATCGCTGCCCATCTCGCCTTCGATGCCTCGTGCAGTCTTTAAAGGATTCTCCGCGAAAGTGGCGTCGCGAATTATCAGGCCTGATAACGGATGTAAAACATGGAAGTTCCAGTTTTTATTTTTATTTAACGCTCCGTGATACCATTTAAGACAAAGATGAATATCAGATATCGACTTTTGATCACGATGCGAGAATTAAATTTTTGTCAAAAATTTTTACCAAATATGATTAATAATATAGAATAATACACAATACTGATGTGTTGTTCTAATTAAAACGGGCTGCTCTGGGGCGGCGATAAAATAAACGCATCAGTAGTCATCGCAACAAATTGCCATGGCGTGCTCGGCTGTAGGTTTATAATCGATACTTCGCGTCGTGTCATTTTCTTGCGTTTAAACATTCGAGCTTTTATCGTCACATTAACATTTATCACGTTTACCGCACGAGATACTCGCTTAAAAAATGCATCACATGTAAGCTTAACACGTTTTCCCTATCGAATCTTATCCGGCATCGCCCTTCGCCTTTTACGATTCTTCGACCAAGATCAACTCAAGCAAATCTGATTGAATCAGTCGCGATATCCTGTGCTTTCGCTTAAAACGATACCATTACAGTTTTTAGTATGTAATTCTATTTTAACTTTTATTGCTTACCATAATACTTTGGTCTTTACCTAAAAAACGCAATATATACGACCTACCAAAAAATGCGTCTTTCAAATAATTGCAAATAATTTTTTTAATTTAAAAAACGGTCTATTACTAATAGTTTTATAATAATTAATTAGCATGTTTCATTTTCCTTAATTAAAAGCTCAGTCAATATGTCGTTAAATATAACGAATCAAATATTTACATTAAAATTCTCTCTTCTAAGCTTGCAGAAATTATGGAATGTACAATATTGTTTGCTAATATAATATAATATAATTAATTAAAAAAGATTTCTTACCAATTCAGATTGATAAGTATCCTAACGCTTAATTTCATGTAAAAAAAGATTACACTTTTGTCAGAAACGCTTTCGCAACAATGGCTGTGAGATATAAAAGAACTCTCGTTTGATCGCCGTTGCAATCGGCTACAAAGACGCAAAGAGCGATGTCAGAATACCGAAACAATTTCCCCGAGCGGTATATAATCGCCGCTGTAATTCGGGGAGCTACTCTGCGGAAATATAAATCGGAAACTCGACTATCCGGAGTTCTCTCGAGAATATTAGCCGGGGCTGGCTGGTATCGTGGCGCGTGGACAGAGCGACGAGTAGTCTCAGGCGGCTTTGTCCTAAATGAGCGAAGAGAGAGCCTTTTCATTTTGAATGCACCGGCGAATCTGGGTCAATGCTGCATCCCATCCCCGTCCACTGCGCGTTGCAACCCCTCGCGCGCTTCCCACGGATAATCGCTGCAAAGTCACCAACCCTACGGTTTTCCACAGGAGTTTGCGGATTTGCGCGAGCGACGCGATATGCCCGGAAAAGCGACGATTCGGTTCAGCAAGTAGCCTCGTTAACTTCACAACGTTAACTTCAAAGTGACGAGATTCGAGATTAATAGTCTTCGTAGGTATCAGTCGAGCGAGATGATTTCAATCCCTTCGGTGTCCTCGAAAATTTCACATTGCGAATGTGCTTCCGAAATTTAACTTAATTTGATTCCCTTAAACTTTTGTAATGTAATTAGTTACTTGCGGTGATAAAATTTATCCTCTTGATATACGGATTATGTAGGTGTACATTAGGATAAATCTCGCACATTAACTTGGGTGATAATTCTTTTCTCTTTAGTAAACACCGTCATGTAATGTCAATCCCTGCTACGAGCAAAACGAGGATTACTCTTGTGTACAAGAAATTAGATTTGTTTTGTTCGTGAATGTCGGTATGTTGAAAATGATGGAATAATATTTTAATAAATTTAAGTACCATAATATTGTTTCGTGATTTACGCTTAAGGTTAAGGAATACGAAAATGTACTCTGTCCATTTGCAAACAACTTGTAGTTTTAAAGAAGATTTCTAACTTTGTAACATTCCTCATTAGAAAAATATAGAAAATAGAAAAACTGATTATTCACTAGAAACTGGTTAGTTTTTATTCTTTTGAATTTACTTAAGACAATAACTATTCAATAACTGGTCAGAAAATTTTTGTTAGATAATAACTGATCAGCAACTAGCCAGAAACTATCCAAAACTAATCAAACTAATCAGTAAATGCTAATCAGTTTCTGGCCAGTAAAACTCGGAATATTCTGACTAGCATTTTCTGATTGATAACTGGTCAGAAACTAATCAGATATAATTGGCTAGTTTCTGGTTTGTTTTCTACTTGAGATATTTCATTCGCGTTTTTGGGATAATAATGCTGCATTTTAAGTAGCATCATTTAAACTTCAAATTTTAATCTGCAAATCTCTCAGGTTAAAATTAATTGATGAAAAATATGATTTCAGGAAGATTTTATTTTTTCAAAATATTTGTTCACAGGGCGAAGAGGATGAACCTCCAGAAGCCTTGGACATGGGCTGGCCAAGCAGCCCAAGAAAAAGGTTAACTTACATTTTAGTCGCGCCAATCTTATTTCCCCTTTGGTTGACGTTACCAGATACGAGAACACCTAGAGGTAATCAATGATCATCTTTCTATGCTTATATAAATTCAAACAGATAATAATACATCATTTTTCATTTATAGCGAACATTTCTAATGTTATATATTATATGTACAAAATATTAAGAAAATTACACTTACTATAAGTATATAAGTAAGTGTAATATCTTTAATTTTATGAAGTTAAATATAGATCAATAAAGATCAATATAATAGGCTTTGCGAAAATCAGATAGAACTGAATTTTTGTCAGCCGTTTGATGGATAGTAGGCGGCCGAATATTTGCATCAACACTAATACTTCATCCGATGGCCTTCTCTTTCAATGTTCTCACTGTTGACTGTTGGGATAGTAATATTAGGTTTCTCCACACTGACGGATAATCGGTCTTGAATAGAGGCAAATGAAAACTGGAGCAAAGACAAAAGCAAGACCTTTGTTAAGCGCAAGAGCAATTAAGCAGTTTCATTTACATATCTTGCATCTATTGCGAGACCTAAACTCCTTTCTCCTTGAAAAGTCAATTAGGATATTTATGAAACAAATGTATATATATATATATATATATATACATAAAAGTCTTCAGGGACGGAGAATTTAATCTATCAAAAGCGTTTTTAATCGTTAAATACGTCTATGAACTTGCAGCAACGGCTTAATGTCTTCTACTCTGCTTTCCATCTTTATACCGCCTCGTGTTTTTTGTTTCTATTCTTTACTGATAAAACAGTGATAATATTAAGACGCAGCTAATATATCAAGATAATTTCTACTCCAATTTCGTTGATAATAAAGAGGAATTCACGTGTATCTTCCTTACTCGCGCACGGCTGCAATAAATTGCGAGCCGCGATAATTATCCGATCTTCATCCCACTTAAGGAATGAAAATCGACGGGATTCGAGAATCTCACGCGATACCTACACCACCCGATATTACATCTCACAATTGATTGCACGTTAATTGTATACGTACATACACACATACATACATACATACATACATACATCTACTATTTTCGCAAAGCGAAAATTGCCGATAGAAGCATGAATAACGGCGACTTATCGTTTTCCGAAAATCTGAATAGATGGGAAGAAGTGCAGAGAAGCGCGTTTCGAATACGCCGATTAATTACGGCCGAAAAAAAAAAAGCTCCGTGGCTGACCGCGTATTTCTTTTTTAACTCGCCAAAAACGTCGGGATCAGATTAAATCCTATCAATCAGCGCAAACGTCGCGCGATGTTTTGCCCGCCCGGTATCGATCTCGTGGTAATATTGGCCCAAACTCCGGGAATTCGGGATTCCGCCGAGCCATCGATTTCGTCGAGGTGGAACTCACCTCATCAACACAAGAGACTAATTAAACGGCATTTACACTTAACTTGCCGCATGAGTTCGCGTTTTACTTGGCTTACACTTTCTTATCATCATCCGACGTATAACAGCATTCTGTTGGAAGATCAGCGTGGCGCAAAAAGGAAGATAAAACTTTTCTCGAGATCTCGCTTCAGGAGAGCTTCGGATTGTTCGCGAAAGACGTTACGATGGCACAATTCGGTCATCTAGCGGGGAGAGAGAGAGAGAGAGAGAGAGAGAGAGAGAGAGAGAGGAGAGGGAGAAGAGAGAGAGAGAGAGAATGAACGAATCTATATCGGATTAGGCCGCATATTGATTTAATAATAAATGTTAAGACCAACGTGAGCGGCGCAAGCGGCTGCTGCTGTTATTCAAACCACCATTTATCACGCGTCTCTCCTACATTATCTCAGCCTATTAATGCATTTCTATCGCGATATTGCACAATACGACGAAAGATGACATTGACACGCTAATTTCGCATTGGGGACTGATTGTTGCACACGTACGAACGCGCAGATAGCCGGTACGTACGCGCGCGGCACTGACTCTATTGTCAGCTAAAATTCCGATATGTCCTTTGAATTTCAGCAATATCGGTCTTTGATTACCGATCTATTAATATGAACGTTACCGCAATCAATTATTATGGGATTGTGCGCACCATGAAGCACATAAGCCAATCAAAGATCACCACGAGATCGAATCAATTTACTCGTCTATCAATTAGTTGTGCAGAATATCTGGCGTATAAATTTTTTTTTTCACAGGCATTGACAAATTTCTCTGATGTTTCTTTGGTAATTTTTGTGAAAGTATTGTACGTGAAATTAATGTTACTTACATATCAATATTTTAATACAATTAGTTTAAAAATTAATAAATAATTTCCGTCAAGATTTAAAGAGAGAATAAAATCACTTTTATGTATCAAAATTAAAATTTATCTTCATAGTGTTACTCTTTCCTTTAATAATTAAAACGACCTAGGTAAACTTAATTAATCTTACTTAAATCAAGTAAATTACTTATCACACAGCTTTTTCATTACACACCTCTATTTATCCAGATTAATATTAATGTGAAAAAATAATTTAATAGAGAAAATTTTGCATCTCCTTATTTCATTATAGAAATTATCGTAATCTTAATTACAAAAAGAAATCAATTTTAAGAATGTTTGCCAAAAAGATTACATTTAGGGCGAACAATTGTCTATACGTTATATATCACGTTATCTTTCAGAATCATTTAAAGAAGAAATTCTCCCGTTATTCTCAAATTAAACTCTTGAAATTCGATCATTAGGATTAGATTACAAGACGGATTAGATATCTCGAACTTCATCCTCGTCATTGTAACATTAAAGCATGTAAATATGGTATTAAAGTTTGCAAACTAATGGTTTTTATTGAAAACTTAACTTCCATTATATTTGACAAGAAAAGATGCAATTTATTAAAAATCTCTTATTTAAAAAATATATCGTATGCTTTAAATAATCGGTAATAGGTATTAACAACTTATTATTGACTACAAAATTACACCATTGTTAAATTATTAAACTAGTTAATATTTAATAGCATATTTATGATTTTAATTCCATTTAAAACACACACACACACACACACACACACACACACACACACACACGA